GTGACCCAAAGAGTGACTTCAGCATAGGAGGGTTAATGTATTTTAAAGATGTGGTATGTGGTGAAATATGGTACTTTGTGCAGACCCAGGACAGAATGTTGAAAAGGTCTCCACGGGGAAGTTCTTCAGGTGTAAAGGTCTCCACAAGGATTCAAGAAATTAGTTTTTAGAAATAGCTCCAAGAAGGAAGAATTTTTTTCAAGTGTAATTATCCACAACAATTTGAAGTTTTTCATAAACGGGGCCTTCAGTTGACATTTCAAATCTGGAATGTAACTCTGGTTCAAATGGGAGCATTTTCAAAACAGAGTGTTTGGGCACATATTTGTGCACAAGAACAAAGCACTGTCTCCACAAGGACACATATTCCAGAGTGGTTGTGAACATGTACATGAATGTAGGTACTCAATAAACAAAGTGTACACATTCCTTTTGCATCACTTTATGACACTGCTGTCAAGTCACCTCCAACATAATTTCTCAGGGTATTTCAGTCTCAGATTTTGAAACTTATGGACTAAATCCCAATTTGAAATGGTCAAACACTGATCAGACTATAAGTTAATGTTTTACTTTTTTTATGTTCTCTGTTTTTCCGCATATCTCAATGTAAACAGTACCAGATCTAGACAGGTTGTTAAAATCAGTACAAAGGGATGGATTGGCCCATAGTCCTGTGTGTCTCATAGTATTACTGCATTTTAATGAGCCTGAATCTGCCTTCGAATGTAAATAACAGCTCTTTGGCAACTCAGTTTACAAATCAGATTGAATATTAAGACAAAACTTGTTCTGTTCCGACCATATGGCACCGTTAGTATTGCTGACTGACCTGGTTAAACACTGAACTGTAATGTCATCCATGATGTGTTGCTATTTTTATCTGTGCCTCCATGGTTATTATGCAGAAACCAACACTTGCCATGCCATAGCATGGGTGATAGCTCACCCATGGTGAGCCATCATAGGATTATTTCCTAAAGGTTATCAGTGCACTTCAGTACATGTACAGTTGTATGTGCTTGCACACTGGAAAGTATGCAATAAATGCACAGCGTGCATCCAGATATGAATGTGAATAACCACATGCACAAGTACCTGTATGTTTTGCTGTTAAATAGATGCAGGTACATGTGCACATATGTGCTGTTTGTACTGATTCACCCCGCAACTGTTCTCATCTTAAAATATTCCTGTTACATTGTACAATTCAGCTTTTTATAAAAGTCTTGAATTCAAAGTACACTAATGCAAAATTTTTACACAACAACCAGCTAATGACCCTTGCATTAGTGTAATTTATAGGTTCCACACGGCTGATAGGGATTAAAATCTGAATTGTAACTGCCTTTAAATTCTCCTGAATCTTAAACTTGTTTCAGAGTACTTTGATAGATTCAGAATGGTTTAGTCAAGCCACTAGCAGTACTGACAAGTATGGGGTTGATGTCTAACATATGGCTTCATGGTAGTTCAAATAATGTGCTACATGAACATACTGATCTGAAGTACACCCTTTACTGAGATGGAACTACTCTCATGCATTCATGTGTCCTTAACCCTAACAGTCCTCAGTCCTCCAACAGGTGAAGATTGAGGACTGTTAGGGTTAAACTTAAGCATTCATTGTGAAGACTTTGGCAAGTCACAACACCCTACACAACACAACATGGTGTCACTGCAGTGATGGCTTCTCCCTGATTAGTCTGTAGGTTACAGGGTAAGTTTTGGGAGAATTTATGGACTCTTCCCACAAAAACAACTTGAAGTCAGAAGCAAAGGGTTTTTGAGTGAAGTCCGGATTCAGGGAGTCTGAACTTGTGGTGAGTGGTACAGGGCTAGGTTATGTAGGGTTGCAGTTGGGTACTGCACAAGTCCTTTCACCAATCCAGTCGCAGCTCATCTGAATGGCTTATGAATACATGTCCAGCAGTTGATAGAAGGGCTTGTGACTTAAGTACGGACAGCTTGTGACAGACTTGAAGCAAGTGTGCATTTGTGATCATCACACAAGTAATTGGATCGTCAAGTCTGCGTTTCAATGCCAACTTTGAGCAATTACAATTTGTCAACCACTATTGGAGTTTGTCTGGTACGCAAGATATATTCTGTGCACAAGCTACCAGGGAAAAATCCACTAACGGTTGACAAATCATTATTGCTCAAACTTGCCCAAAGCTGGGGGCTCATTAAGTCAAGTTGGGACATGGCCTTATTTTTTGGAAGGCCTTTTTTTTTAACTGTGGTCTATAGTACATCACTGATTCTCACCTGTGACACCACCCAACCAGTATGACCCACATCTCTAGTAAGAAGTACATGAGCGTTGTCAGTGGCTTCCTCAGCAGAGTGATCCTGGCTCTCTCCTCTCGCTCTAAGCGATGCTGTTCCCGTATCTCATGGTGGTCCTCCGACTCCAGAGGGCTGGGTGTCTGGGCCTGGGATTGCCGGGGTCCCTTGATGAGTTCCCCAATACCGGGGGTCAGGTTGTTCTGCTGGAACATCTGGTCTGTCTCTTTCAGACGATTGATCTGAAGGGAAATGCTCATATTGCCGAGTACCCAATCACTTAAGAAGAAGACATAAATGTATGCAACACCTGAACAGATGGGGGCGACCAAACCAAATCTTGGTCACCTTTTACCCAAGGCAACTTCCACCCAGGTCAGGTTGAGTCCACAATTTACAAACTTTTCACAAAGTTTCACAAAGTCTATAGTATTCATGGATTTCAGTATTTTTTGCACCTGCATCGAGAATACACACACAAAAAGTTTAATCTTATCAGTCTTCGAAGAAACAATATGTTATATATGGGACAAAAGAGGACCTTTTGTGGACTCACTTAAGTGGTACCAACATACATCACATGCATCTTTCTTTGCACTGGGCTCTTTAGGTTGGGAAACACTGTGAAACTTCTCAAAGCTGCAAACCACTTCACCACAAAAATTCGATTCCGAAACCCTGTAGCGTTACGATGCCATGTAAACCTTCTTGCCTCAAAGGCACAAAGACTATCACGGAATTAGTGACTTCGAGTTCTCGAAGTATACATGTAAATCGACATGGTAACACATGATTTAGTTATTTATTGCAAAGGCTGCAGTATAGTGAGATGATTCTGCAAGTTTACAATTCTTCCCAACTGAACAAAAGTTATGGTCTGTCTGACCACATGCTCAACCCCTTGTAATCGTCATGATCATGATGTGATGATGAGCAGATGAGCGATACCGATGACGATACGGCTACGCGTGGTGATAAAGACGAAGTCAATGAATGAACGTATTGATCCAGCGTTTTACCATTTCTTGTTTCAGTCCCGTGACTCGAAGACCACGTTTCTTCAACTCCTTCTTCAGCTGAGACACTTTAAACTTGGAGTAATCCATTATTACAAAAACTCAGGCACAATTATTGCTGGAACTGCCAAAACGCGTGCGAATTTACGTATCCGCGTTGTCGGCCATTTAATTCTAGCACGTTACAATAGACTTCATCGTCAGTCCAATCACCTCATTGGTACTGTATGTACACGTCACGCGCGTATTTAGATATAGACACGTTGCGTTACAGGTACAGTTATGAAAGAGACAAAGAGGGCGTCCTGACAGTGTAGTGGAGTTGAGACGTCTGACAAGACCTGCCAGTAGGTGGGCGTGGCAGTTTACTACACCTGTTTTAACAACTATTCATACTAGTTTAACTAGTTTTAACTCTGGCTGGGTGTATTTCATCCTCGAGCCCTAGGCCCCTTTTAAAACTAACCTACCGCAATTATTTTCCTATTCGTAGTTTTTGAGGAGTAATGTTTCCCGACAGTTTTGTTCAATTTTACAATGTGTTTTGTGAAACTACTCTAGCCATATCTGTGGAAATGTGCCTTGTGTGCGCAATACTAAAATCTTACACAGAAAGTTGTACACGCAGCACATGCTGTTCTTTGTGATGCAAAACTTTGCTGAATGTTACATAAAACTCTGTGTATTATGCATGCTTATGTGACAACATGACAATTGCATGTGAGGGCGAGTCCATAAAATACGGAGTTGAAATTTTGCATGAAACTGAATGATTGTGTTAAGAAAAAGTTGGTACTTTAATGATGTTTAAAAAACACCAATGCGGGAGTGTGGTCATCATTTCTTGGATGTTTGCCCTCAAATGGTTTGGTGACAATCTGTGTACGATTCATTGTAAATGATCTGTTGCTCACAGTAAATTCTCTGTCAGTTTGTTTGGTATTCAAATTTTGTAAGCGGGGGCATGCCCAAGTTTCTCTTCCCCTGAATTGCTGCACAATAAGCACGGATCACTTTGTGCTTTGGCTGTAACTGATGACCTTCTTGAACAGTTTTCATCTATGAGGGCAATCTTATTTACATTTAATACAGTTGACCGCATTGATAAGAGCACATTAATACAACATCCTGCTAATTATAGCAAGGAAATTCTCAGATCTCAATCCTTTATTTTTCATTCCTGATAATACGAGGATACTGTTATAACATCACAATCTGCAAAGTCCACAGGACCTCTTATGAATGAGGTTCAACTGCAAGAGGAAAAACAAAGACAACACTCATCTGATGTAACAGTGGATGTTAGGCCCATACCTTTCGAAGTCAGGGGTGCTGAAAACAACTGAAAAAGGCATAAGGAAATTGAACTGTGAATATCTCCTATACTTTTGTACACAGCCAGTGAGGGAAAAAAGCTAAAATCCACAACAGCTGAAATCAGCTAAAAACCTGAGAATCTCGCCCCTGCAAAGTATGTTTATACTCGTGTTAAGCATTCAGAGAGTGGATCGTCAGTTTACTGTTGTACCACTATGGATCGTTTCCTGTGTCCGAGGGAGAACATAGAAGATAAGTTTTCATTAATTCATAAGGTGTAATACATGTACAGAAATTTCGTCTGAATGGAGACTCTGCTTTTACTGTTTGCTAGATACTGTAACCTTTGTGGCTAAGTATACACTTAACAAAACTGCATTCTGGTGGCACAGCTTCTGTTACAGTGTATATTACCTTTGGCACCCTTTCATTTTCCTCTTTTATGATAAAAATGCTTATCAATTTTGCTAGCTTTTGTTACAAGAGCAAGAACATTATTAAGGAATGACCTATAAAATGGGATTTTTGCTGATATCTTTCCACTGGTTGATAACCATCACAGAAGCCAATCTCTGATAGTCTCATTCTCATAGGTTGGGACTTTGTGATGTTTGGTGGTCTATGTCAAAAGAAGACGTACACAGCACTTTGGTAAAGACAAGCTGAGGTAACCCCGCTGTAACTGAAATTGAGCAAGGCATGAAAACTATCTGAGGCCATTTGTGGCCAGAATTTTTCTTTGGCAGTGTTTGGTTCTATCAAAGGCTCAGTATATTTTATTCTGTGATTTAACTGACACAGCAATAGCTTCATTTTGTCATTGGGCAAAACCCAAACCTGATGGCAGCTTGAGGGAGAAAATAGTAGCATCAGTGCACGGAGTGGGAAGTTTGATCCAATCAGGCTCTTTCTCAATGGTCAAGAAACATTTATACAGCAAAAGAAACTTAGTTTTGACAATGTCAATTAAACTTGAAATGAAATGACAATGTTGTCAGAAAAAATACTGCGGTTAAAAACATGAAGCTTTGAGAAAATATCTGAGTGCTGGATTAGCAAATTAAAAAAAAAAAGATGACAAGATACAGTTCATGGAATGCAGGGTGCCAATTGGGCAGGTGTACTCAGCATACTCTTTCAAATTTTGCATAACAAAGATATTTTGTCATGTGATGTAATTCAGCTTATAAAGCTCGTCAGCCAGTGGTTGCTGAGGACAGGGTACTGTAGACAGATTCTGCAAAGTCACAGATGTTCATTTTTGGAGCTTGCCCTGACGATAGCTTGGCAGCCTTCTGAGGACAGTCCAGGCTCAAGAATCAAAACTTCTTGGCAGGCCAGCGGTGGCGAACTCTTGCAAGCAGGTGTGTGCAGCAACTGGCAAACAGTCCGGACAGAGACAATTCTCTGCCGAGTCTTGGCTCAGCAATGAAAACTCTTAGGCAAACACCAGTGTCAGCATAGGTGCACTCCAGCACCCCGTCCATGGGCTCCTGAAGGAAAAAAAAGTTGATAATATGAAATAATATCAACTTTTGATAAAATAAGAACTTTTAGATTACAAATATAAGGAGCAAATTCTGAGGGTCCTGATCTCTTGAATTCTTTTGCTCCTCTTCAATTATCCAGCCCATTCATTACAACGTTCTGGTTATAACAGGATATTTTAGTCAGACCTAGCAACCTTGTTTGTAATGAGAGCCAACTGTAATGGTTTCTTAACTCAGTGGTAGGAGATAAACTCTTCATACAAAACACCTTTGAACTTGAATACCAGCCTTGAATACCATACATAAAAAATATTCCGTCAAGAACCATTGGTACCTCGGGTATTCCCACAGCTCAAAAATGTTCACAAGTTATAAGGAGCAAAGGTCAATTTTCACTTTCCATGCAATCAAAAAAAAAATTGATATTTAATTTCTGCAAAACTGAAAGTGTTGCAGTTTAGACACCACAAGTCCCTGCAAATCCATCACAAGTTCTTCAAAAACTATGTTGTTTTGAGCCCAGTCATACACTTTTCCAACCAACTGTGATAAAAGCATTCCTTCGTCATTTAGGACTGGCTTTGTGAACTCAACTGGGCCAACCCAGTCAAATCTGGATGACTGCAACTGCATTTATGATACCATACTGGCTTTTTCCCGATCAGGATCTTTAAAGTTTTCCAAAAGTCTTCACAATGAGAGGAACTGACTGCAATGAACTCACGTGACACACTGCTTAGGAAGGAGGCATACGTTGCACTGCCGGTGACTTTGCCGACCTTGGCAGGGTTTTTGCGAACTGTTGAGACTGTGAATGCACTGCCCGCTGCAACATCACCTGGTCCTGTGACATCCACTTCAACAACATGCCAGTCTGTCAAGCTGCCAAGAATGAATGCCCAGGGAAACAGGTTGACACATTGTATAACTAAGTGCTTTTCAGTTTAAGAACTGAGCTATCAGCCTTGTTTGAAGTTTTGTTTGGCAGAATGACATACATGTAAGTATTGCTTGAGTGTATACCAAGAGAGCAATGTCTCTTGGGAAGTGTTGGCTATGGAAGGAGCCAGTGGTAAGAAAAGTTCTTGGCATTTAAAATAGTGTGCTCTGTTTATCTTCAGGAAACTGCTAGGGTGGCATGATTACAGCTGGTTATAGATGACTGAAATAGTCCAGATTATGTAGTGGGGGATCCTGGGACAAGATGCTAACTATTGAGGTGTGGTGGAGGGATGTTAGGTGTTTATTGGTGCGTGTCAGTATCTAGCTGGTTGCCTAATGGAAGAAGTTGGAAAGGAAGGGGTGTGGAAGGAGGGAAGTAACTGCAAGGTATAGGAGACTGGGGGGGGTAGGGAAGAGGACCCAGATGTAGCTGAGGTTGAAGCCAATGTCTTGGAAACGGTAGTGTCTATAACAATCTTTACTTCCAACAGCCCTCAGTTTTATCGACACCTATCTTCGGTCACTAACTGCAACAAATGCAAATTATCTTTGACTGAACAGAAGTGCAGAAAAAAGCACACCACTGCCAGTAGGGCGACGGCAAAAAAGGGTGCAGTTGAAGACAGCAAATTAACACCGTATCTCACAGGAGATAATACAACATCATATGGAAGAAAATGCTCACCTAGGATCTGCCAGAAGTCGCCCTTGCACCTTATCAAAGCCAAGATTGTGTGCAGCCATGGCTGCGGCTGCCATAGTGTTGACATTGTTGGGAGCCAGAGGGCACAAGGAACGCACTGGACCTGAGGAGGTAAATTCCAGCCAGTCAAGTTATGCCAGCTCTTACGAAGGTCATAGCTCCACAAGGAGAACTTAGTAAACCAAATTCATCTGCAGCCAATTTCCTGAAATTTGGAATAACCTGTGCCATGCATTAACTTTATGACACCAATTTATTGCAGAGCTGTTTAATGTACTTACAACATATTTCACAAAAAGTCGCTTAGCTGCAAAAATTGTAATTATATTGGAAAACTTGGGGGACAACTCTAGCTTTTATGATGGCTGTTACGTTGCAATATTTCAGCAGGCTTTAAACTGTTATTACACTAACCCTGCCTGCCATTTTGCAACACTAGTCATCTTTTCTTAATCAGAACTGTGAAACAAATCTTGAAGTTCTCTCACAGCCAAACAAGGTTTTCATCATTCCCAAAGTCAAATCTATGCATTTCTCATATAAACCTTGATCTGCTGAGCCATGATAAACCTTGATCAGCTGAGCTATGATAAACCTTGATTGGCTGAGCTCTGATAAACCTTACCACAAACATGCTTATGCCATACTTAAATGAAATGATTCACAATCTGTGTGCAAAATTCTCCCTTTTCATGAATTTTGCATTTGAATATTTGAATTAAAAAAAAAATCAAATATTCGATTGAATATTCGGATATTTGCACAGCCCTAGCAATTTACATGTACATGTACACAAAAAGGGGTACAAGTGAGGTCACACCATGACACCAAATTACATTAATCAACTACTAGTTAGTTTCACTGGACCCAATGCAAAAAAAGACATCTTTGTAAAATTTCTGAATGGATATTCTGCACTTTGTAACAAATATCACACATGCCCTATGTACTTCACTCACCTGTCAAACCAGTTAGTCATTAATTCATGGTAATTGTTTTTCATTTCATTTAGATATCTAATAATACTGAAACTGTACGTTTGAGGAATACGACTTTCACCATTATTTACAGGTGGAAGCATGGAAATTGTAGAGTGCCCTATTCTGCATGAGTTAGATAACAAAATTTCCCATCTTCAAATATCCATGTGTTTACAGCAACATGATTTGAACTGTTTGTGATGTTGCCTCCTCTTTTTATTACCTTCATACAGCACTGTTTCACAATCTGTGACTGCATCGTTCTTGTCTTTCAAAGGACTGTTCAACTTGAAGCTGTTGGGGTGTTTCTTCATTGTAACAGTCAATGCCTGTGATGGCAAGCAGCATAGGAAAACAATCAATTTACGTAGCAGGTTGAAAACAGGGCCCTTTGTTTCAATATTTGTTTTCTTTGTTGTTTTATCACTAGAACTTGTACCATTTTTGTAGTTGTGCTTTCTTTATCCCCACAGTAACATCACTATTTCCTTCAACTCAAATTGTGTGAACCTGCTCTTTCCATAATGTATACTTTCAAGAAATATTTGCAAGCAGCTCTAGTTGTAGTATTAAATCATCATGAGTCTGGCCAACAGTGCACAGAAAGGTGTAAGGAAACAATGAAATTTCAAACAAAAAATCTAACCGATGAAAAAAGCTGATTCAGCATGACTCTGCACTTTTTAAGAGAAACTTCAATCCATTTTTAAGTTGGGCAAAGTTTTTGATATTTTTTTTCTTTTCAATATGGTAGGTGTGGTTCTTTTCAGAACCACACATACTCATAAGAGAAATATATTCCTTCACATGGTGCTTCCGCAAGCCTTTCTACCTGTTGCAATATGGTAGGTCTTAAATATTGTAAGAACATCATTCTAGCCTATTCAGAACTTAATATTCAAAGTTCTTACAAGGTCAATAGGATAATATCATATTGGACCACTAACCTTCGCCTTGTGCAGTGAGTTAAACCAATGAAACCATGTCACAGTGTAGAGCAGGAAAGTTTTGTGACCAGAGTTTGGTGATGTTGTAAAAAGAGTCTCCTCAGGTGAGTGTAAGATCATGAATTTTGCAATAAAGGCAACACAGCCTGAAGCCTTTTTTGTGCACTGCACAAACACCAGAAAACCTTGCTGTCTTACCTGTAATGTGCCCCTATCAGCCATCTTTTGAATGTCGCTGCTACCCCACAAGGCCCCACTTGGAATGTACAGCCCATGATGCTTTGCAGCTTTTCGGAGCTTGTCTTCTACTTCCTGATTGGCCAAAGCTGTGGGTGACCCAACCTTAGGGAAGGTAAAGAAACAGAAGTTAATATTGTTTGAATCATGTCTGTTTGGGGTGCAGTCACAACTTGAGCACAGGGCATTCTGTAAACTTATTGGGCCAGTATTTTTTATGTATCGGATTATGAACAAAACATGTTTTTTTTTTCATTTTTTCCCACAATTAACTTATCTGGAGTCAGGGAGAACATAAAATTGTATTTAGTTCATTTTTTTGTTTCCAAAACACTGAAAAAAAGTTGTTTGAATCCCATTGATGGTACAGTTGCCCTTATGTCCTTGAGCAGGGCATTTTGCTACAACTTCTTCTGCTAGCTAGTCAGTATTGTATTACATGTTACTGCAACAACAGATTTAAGCTATGAATGGCTTTTCCATCTGGCCCACAGATTTGGAATAAAGAGTCAAGATCTAGCAGGTATCTTTCCAAACTAGTCACAAACACAGTGGTTTCAAGTATTAGGCTGTGTCTTCATTAGTCTGAATACCACAACAGTTCTTCCAATAGAGTCAGGGAATGAACATCTGTCCTGCTGTCCTTACGATCTTTGACTATGAATTGACTTCATTTAAGTATGTAACTGCAAACATTGGTCTTGTGTTGCAAGATTTGGCCAACTAGGGAGAAGGCCTCCTGTAGAATATTTACCATGTAATCTGCAACAGCCAGAAATGCTTCTCCATACTGGCTTGATATGATAGGATGGGCGACTTCTACAATTAAATCTGGCTTCCTTTTTAAAGAAAAACACAATCAGTCAGCACACACTAGTGACCAATTTGTTTGGGCACTGAATTGACTGGAAGTAAACAGAAAGTACACGGTAAACGGTATACAAACAGCAATATTCACAAACATATTTCAGGTCATGATTGATTCAAGATTAAACAACAGCAACCCACAACTCACCCAAGAAAAGTCTGATTTGATGAGAACACCATATTTTGAAAAGCAGAAAGCAAAAACTATTGAACGGGAAGACCAGAGTAGTAATTTTGTCTTTTCCATAAAGACTACAAAATATTTCCGTGGCTTTAACCTCTGTGAATACTGACAAAATACTCATAAAGTCACACTCACTTTCCTATGAAGCCAGTGTGTGGATCCACAGTGTACTGGGCACCAAGGAAAGCACCCATGTAAACAAAATGTGGTCTCATCAGTGCAGAGGTTGATTAAAAGTGGCTGTCGTTTCATTACATGTACATGTAACTTAGTGTTTATCATTTCTGGTAATGAAGCAAGGTATTCCATGAATGTGCCCTTGGCACTGTAGCTCCTTATTCTGAAGGAGATTGTGAAAGGGAGACTATGAGAAGCAGATACCGTGTTAGGGATGGTATGGAAACCCCAGGAAATGTTCTGTGTAAAACCTAGTCTTGCTCCAAGACTGGTTTTACTGTTTTGGCTCATGCACTGTGCATGTGACATGCACTGGCGAGCACAGCCGAATAGCAATATCAGTAGAGGGCACTATATTCACGGGAAAACCAGTCTTGTAGAATCTGGCAAGCTTAGCCGAAAAATTCTGAGCATACCTCACACACTCAAGTCCATGAACAATAATGCCCTACACACTGCCGAAGACCACGTTCCATGCTGACTACGGTTTTCGGCAGTGCGCATGAGCACTTATCATGATTAGGCAGGGACAGAAAACCCATTCCACATTAGTCTCAGTAGGTGGGATTTCAACCACAGAGATGTAAGGAGAGGAAAGTAGCACTATGTCAACCAAGTATGGTGTAAATCTCATCAGGGGATCATTCTCAGAAATGTTTCTTCTGAGATGAATGAGAGTTACCATGGCATTACTTTACATATGTCCAATGTAACATCAACTGCCAAGTTATTAGTATCCAAAGATATATTTACCGGTCAGCAAACAAGGACAGGTCTTCTAGTATATGATGTCCTTCCACCGTTTCATGCGTGGTCAACGATGTTCTGTTCCAAACAAAAGCAACCTCTTGATCTGCACTGTCTTTAATTGCCTGGTAAAGATACTGCCCTGTGTGATGAACAAGATTAGAAAACAATAGTTTACATGCATGCACTTGGCTTTCATTGACAGCCATTATCAAGTGACTGGCGGCCCAAAAGACTAAGAATTATTTCTAGCTAATTTGGGACATATAATGTATTGTATTACTATTAGCGTTGGGATCAGGTCAACTCGGACTCAAACCAAGTTGGACCCATTCCAACTTGGACCCAGTACAACTCGGACCCACGCCAACTCGGACTCAATACTAACTCGGACCCACGACCATCTTCCCACAACCAACTCGGACCCACGCCAACTCAGACCCATCTTGAGTCAACTCAGACCCACTGTGTCTTATGGTTGCACTACATCACATACGTGCCCGTAGACTGAAATAGCGCCAACTCTTGAACCTCGTGAAGAGGTTGGCCTTCAATTTTTCCGCTGGAAATTCAAGATTTTTTTTTTGCTGAAAAATCAAGATTATGGCCAGATCCATCACTTTTCCTTTCAATTTTATGAACTTTTTTAATCCCCTTTTCCCGAAGATACCCCCTAATAGTAGTAAAACTATGCGCTCAGCTCTGAATGTAGCCATCCGCCTTTATCTAAAATAGGCCCGCAATGTGGGGCTTTTCGTGAAAGAAATACTCTGAACTGGAAACTATCAATCCCAAATTCGGGATTTATATAAATAATTCTATGATCCCTCGTGATTATGGTACGTCTTGTAAAAAAAAAAGTGGGATCACAAAATAGATGAACTCGCGGGCAGACATACGATGCTTCAAAGCTGTCTCCAAGTTTAAGACAATAGGAAATATTCCACATTTTTATTTAAAAATGACTTGATTTGTGTTGTTCGAAATTACCAACCTATTTACGTTATCTGGACAGTCAGTTTAGGACTGTATGGATGAATTCCTCCATTTGCCTTAATTTTGCCGGTATTCAGGGGGGGGTGAAGATAGGGCAAGGTGGAGGAGTAAGACTTGCCAGGCCAAAAAAATTGAAAAGTGAGGTGGGGGATAACACCATGAGACACTATAAAAGGTCAGTGTTCGTGATATTGATGTATATCTGCAGTATGTGTTGTATGCATGCAGCATCTCTTATGTACATCAGAAGGGCCTATCTGTGGCTTTTTCATGCAACAAAAACTTTGGGGGCTGTTTGGTGAAAGTTCATTCGATTTCTTCTGGTGATCTGGAGTGCCAAAAAAACTTCGGAGAAAGGGCGTCAATGATTTGGTACTGTCAATCACACTCCGAAAGCTGCTCCCATTGGTTGTCCCAAGCTCCCACTCCCCGATCATAGGGTTTCAGAAATGGAAGGTGACAAAATCAGTCTTTGTGGTCAATCACGCCGGTACCTCGGAAGCCAATAACCAATTAAGATTCCAGATTACAAGCGGCAAATAAGACATCGAAGGAAATGTGCCTCCATGAGAATACGACGCTCGTCGGTTACTTATCACTTGTTCCAAGACATCATTCACTGATATCAAATCTAGTCCTGTACGGTTTTCAACCACTTTGCCTGTTCAGACTCAAAAACTGTTTCCCTGCATTACGTGTAGAGAGGATGTTACATCTCGGCAGCATGCAGTGCAAAAATGTCATTTACCAAATGCTAAAATGTAAAAGTGGACAAAATCAAAATTTTCAATGAGTTAATCACGCTCCTAGGGTTGGGTCCGAGTTGGTCGTAGGTCCGAGTTGGTTGTGGGTCCTAGTTGGTCGTGGGTCCGGGTTAGTATTGGGTCCGAGTTGGCATGGGTCCGAGTTGGTTTGGGTCCGAGTTGACTCAAAACCTTAGCGTTTGTATCCACCTTGAGCAGAAGTCCCAGAGTATGACAAAGTAGTGACTTGAGTTCTCGAAGTAAGCATAGATCATCATGATGATGATCATCCGTGTCACACGACAGCAGTAATTAGGGTGCTAAAAGAGTTGATCAACTGCATTTTTCTCAATTTCAGCCCAACATCTCATCCAAGAAAGTGCTAAAGAATAGATTTACCTAGATGACCAAATCCAACAATTCCGACTTGCCGTTTAGACATGTTAGATGCCGTGGCCATGTTCATAGCACTAGTACTAGTACTAGTATTAGTCTAGTCATCACCTCCCTCGCTCGTTGCATTGCTTCCTGAGTAGCATGCAGTCCGTCGTATACGGACCGTACGCGTTCGGTGTTTGGTGCGGTTGAGTGATTTTTTTCCGTACCATGCATCAGCTATCTTGTTGAGAGCTAGGTCTTCGCTCCAACATTGGAAATGGTGGAGACGCGCAGACAACAGACCTAGCCGTAGCTCTGCAAGGCCGTTGCGGACACGGCCTAAATATGCATAGAGTTGTGTACAAATGTCCTACATGACGCATGCGGTTCAGAGGTCAAGAGATACAGAATCGGCACCTCGATGTGCTGTATATGCATGATTTGTGTACATGTATTCTGTACACGTACTGTACATGTACATATGGTAAACACAATGAATCAAGCAACTTGTGGTACGTTAAAAAAAGCGCGTCCGGTTGCGGCCGGCTCACTTCTAGGCTTGCGCAGTGCGCGTGAGCCGGCTGTGCAAACCACGGACGTATATAAAAAAATATAAATTTTATTATACACGTCCGGCCGTGGTGCAAACATGATGCATGGCCGGAAACCAGACTACTCTTGTATTATTTTCAACGGTTGTTTCATGTGGCATTTTGTAGAAAGTATAAACATCAAATAGTTAAATTTATAGTCTCGTTCATTTTTTTCGTGTAGAAGTTTTATTTTAAAAACCAATTAATATTGAAAAAATACATGCATCTAGGAAATGGTTAATTTTTATAACATTTTAATTAGAAATAAGAGCAAAAATTATTGAAACACTGATAACTTGTGCTAAAGCAGTGGGTAAACTGACGTTGCTATGACTCCATTTTAATTACAGAAAGGTCAACGAACTTAAAAAATTCAGTCTGTAGACTCCATATGATGATCGAGTCCATCCAGTGCGTTGAGCTGAGAGTGAGAAATTGATTTTGCCTCAGATTTTATAATTTCATCGGCCCGTAATTTCACAAAAATTGTGCAGAAGACCCTAACTGACGTATTCCAGGTTCAGCTTACAAAAGTAAGTTTCAACAGTTGTGGAAACTGACTGAATTTTAGATGCCTCGTGTTCCTTCCCCCATCATGTCCATGCTCAGTCTCACCCAAGTCTGCTGTCACAGTCATTTTTTGTGTATGGCAGCTGTCAGACTGGTTAGGGACACCTCTTTTTAGAGCCTGTGCCTATCATCATCAGTCTAAACTTACCATCGTAGCCTCAGAGAGTCTTCCTTCGTAAAGAGTTCCATATATGGACAACACTTGATGCCCCTGTCATGCCTGTGCACAAACCTACAAGACTTGTCTGAAAAAAGTGTTTTCTAATGCTTGGGAATTTTCCTCGCAAAATTTTACTTTTACTTTTTTAGGATCTATGTTATCACTTTCTGATGGCTGTCAGCGTCATGAAATTTTGAGGGAAAATTAGTGTTGTCGTATATGGAACTTTTTCCCTTTGTAGTTTTACACAATCAAAGGAATAAGGAATCTTTGGGGGAGGACGTCACCACAGAATAATCCTTACCATTTCGACAGTTGACATGGTTGAACTTGAGTGCGACAGTTCCGAACAAGTCTTATCGCTATAGTAATACTGCATAAGTGATTTTGCACAGAGGCTTTGTGGGAAGGAAAAAGGGGCAATGTTTGCACCTTTTCCCTTCCCACAATGCCTTTCTTCCATTGTGCAAAATCACCCATGCAGTAATACTAGTGAGAAGGCGTATTGATAGTGGACAGTTCCGGATTGATAATTAGATAACAATTAACTATGTACATGTGTGATGCAACCAAGCTTGATTAGTCATGACTGTATCCGCTTCGTAAGTGTGACATCACTTCAGTTTAAACCACGTCCACCGCACATGCACTGCACATAGAGTTACATGCATTGATCGCCGTTTACATGGAACTGGAAGTTAACGTGCAAGTTCAGTGATTGTCCAATGGGAGCCTGCAAATCGGGGCGCGTCCGCCTTTGTGATGAGGTCATTTACAAACCGGATACAGAGTCAAATCCACATTACAAGTGGCCTGCCTTAACTTAGACCCGTAAACAGGGCCCTACATACACGTAAGGCCCTGCTTACAAATCTAGCCTTATTCACCCTCTACAGTGTTTTGTTCTCACTTGGGTAAGAGTTTCATCTCCAGACATCACTTATTTTCCCTTGCAGTGGTTTATTAGCCATCAGAATGATAACATTTTGTAACAAATCAAATTAAGCACTGAAAATGTTGAACCATTTACTTAGAAAACGCTTAGAATTTTGCAGACCAGTGTCATGGGGTGGTACGCAGGGTGTCAATTGATGTCCGGTTATGGAACTGTTTCCCCCACTTGTTCCAATGGTCCGAGTAGGTGAATTTAACAAAAATATGTAGTCAGTTCAAAAATGTAATGTGTGACCAGTTCAAGGCAAAATATTCACTTTGCCCAAATTATGCACTGATGTAGGCTTAATTTGTTTTTATCTCAAGTTGTTTGAAAATTTCTTACCAGTGAATTTTAATATGGTTATAGAACACATTTTTCAAATTCAATTCCACTCAAGTTTCTAAGTATCGATGAATGAATCCTGCACTGACATTAAGTTTAAAGTCACCTGGACCACTGATCTGCCCTTTTAGAAATCATGCCAAAGAAGGGCAAAAAGTCAGGGAAGAAAGGCAAGTTGGCCAAGATGACGGAAGAGGAGAGAATCCTCTACTTGGAGCAGAAGATGCTGGCAGAAGAAGAGATGAAGAAGAAAAAGGAAGATATGCTCAATCAGTTTTTAAAGGTATGTGATAAATCCTTTCACTTCTAGTGCCATCTATTCTGCGCATGCCTGGCTTCCAGATTCCACATGCTTTTCAGAAAAACTGCCGTAAACAGCTACATTTTCTTCTGGTAAAGAGTGTAGTGAAATCGGTCAATGAATTCCTTTTAGACAAAGTAAAATTGCATATTAGTCTCCATGCTTGCTTCCTTTTTTGGAAACTGCCTGAATTGTAAAAGACAAATTAACCACAAGAGAAATGGGTGAAAACGAGGAAAAAATGCCAAGCCATATGAACATAAAATACCTGTGAGTGGCAACTTCCAACTTCATAGTTTGTTGACATCAATACATGTCCTCACTCTTGACATCATGTAGTTGACCATGTGATACCTAAATGTATTTGTATGGTATGGCAGCAATTGAATACATTCTTACCGATTCGTACATGTATACAGGTAGGCAGCTGTGCTTTAACATTCTTGGTGAAACTGTGGTACATACTAACAATCTCTCGTCACCTTTGTAAATAAGTCTGATTCTCTTGTCCACCACCTCACTTTTCTTTGGGTGTCTGTGAATAGTAGAAACACCAATGATTGTTTGAAATTAAAAAAAACTCATAATGAAAATAAATAGCTCTTCCACCAGATTCCTCATCTTTTTTTCGTAAACCAGGATGCTACATGAACTTTTTATCACTTGGTTGTAAATTTGATGTGTTTTTGCCAACAATTAATATACATGTATATGACTTTTTGACAAATGCTAAGGCCAAAACATTCGATAACTCTCAAATTACGTATAATTTTTCCACGCAAAGATTTCTTTACAAACCCATATTAAAAAAAGAGTTATGCTAAATTAGTTGAATTGCAGTCTGAGTAATCCAAGGTAAGGATCAGGTCATACCAAACTAGGTTACTACATATAATCCCCTTTGAAGAGCACAGCCCACCACATAGCTATTTGTATTCATTATGTAAAGAATGAAACTGGTGGCTGAAGTTCTTTGTTTTTATACTCCTAATGCCAAAATACTTCTGAACTTCTTGTATTTAATAGGACAAGCTGGTTAAGGAAGAGAGAAACACCCGATTCAACATGTACAAGATCACCCACCAGTGGAGGAATATCATGCGTGCTGCCAAGTCTAAGGAGCTCAAGAGAGATATCGAGATTCTCAGCCAGACCTTTGAGAGGGTGGTGGACCGCAAAGACAGCGTCATCAAATCATTAGCCAAGGATTTGTCAGAAGCCGAGGAGCAATATTCGATGGCACTCAGGAGTCATCTGCAAAACATGGACGCCCTCATAGGTGAGGAGTTGTCATAGTAACAGAAGATCTACTAATAACAGCTAAGTGGGCAATTCACTGCTGGAAATAGTCAGTAAATTCTATTGGCCAGCTTGGCACAGGAAACCTCAATTATTTCTGTTTGTATGGGTGGAAGTTTCATAAGTGCATTGTTTGCCATTTTTCTTGACCCTGTTGTCTTCTTTCCACCGCATTGCATGCCCCAAGCTACACAAAATTTCTGCAAGTTGTATAGGAACATTCACTCAGATGCAAACTCTGGCAAGTCGGCATTTTTATGTTGACTATAAACCTGAAAAATGGCCTCTCTGTGGCAAAGACTTGGTGGAGCGCTGTATTTTGAATTGCTATTGGTCGGTTAGTAAAAGATATTGTTTTGGTCCCATGCCTTTGCAGAAGCATTTTTGCTGTTCATATTGCATAGATGTTGTTAAATAGCAATTCTAACACAGCAGTTACATTCCTTTAAATAATTTATGAGGCTAGTCCAACCATTGTTGACTGAATAATGTTCATCTAAAATCAAATAAAAGAGTGGATTTTTTTCCCATTAGGTTGATAGCCCCCATTCAGTTGTGTACTTTAAAGAATTTTGGTTTGCCCACGAAAATGTACATTCGGAAAAAAATCAGCACAAAGTCTTGATTTATGACTCAGACCTGCAGAGGAGCCGGCTGGCCATTCTGAAGTCTGAATACGGCGCTGAGCAGGAGATCCTGATGAAGGAGTTTAACAGTGAGCGGAGCTTGATTATCGAGCAGCACCGACGGGAGATGAACGACCTGCAGGACATACTCTTTGCCATGGAGCAAAACAACAATGACAGGGAGAATGATGCCAAGCAGGAGTTTCAGAGCCTTAGGGATGAAATTAAGAACAAGGTACCTTGTGCAAATCAAGATCCATGTAGTTGCTGTAGAATCCCACTTTGACATAACTTCTAGTTGTGCATTTCAAATCTTTGGTAAAACAATTGTTCGATACAGTGATTGATAAAATTCGGGATGACATTTGACAAGTCAAACAGGATGCCTCTTGTAGTGTTCTTAATGAACCCCTACACGGCGGGATTATTTTGACCGCAACTGCCGGGCTGTGGTATGCCCTGAATGGTGGGTTTTGTCCAGCAGCAGGCCCCATTGAGCTAGGAGCTGCATGGTGAATAGACTGTATGTGCATGTGTATGTTTCTGAAAGCCGACTCCGAGAATTCCAGCCTTGCTTGGCCACAGAGGCCACCTGCCAAACCGCAAATTCTCGGTTTGTGGCCCTGCGTGCTCTGCACACTTTGAATTACACAGTGAAAAGGCTCATTGTTCGGTGGCATGTGGCTCTACTCACGCTTCCCTATTCCCGTTGCCTCTTTTCAAAGTGGGGACTATTGTGAAGCTGGTGATTATGATGCAAATTCTGCCTTTTCATATCTTGGCAATACACAAAGGCCAATCACCATATATACAAGAGCCAGGGTATGCCTTCTTTCACCGTGTTCGCTCGAGCGTGGACCGAGAAAAGTGGGCTGATGATCTCAATTTTTATGGCAGCTCTTACCGTCATCCGTCGCGAAGGGGTTAAGAAATCTCACTGTGCTATCAAAACAATCCTGCTGAATACTGAATGACAATACATGTATAAGCATCTGGGTAGTACTCTACATTTGTAGGTAAAATCTGACACCCACCAAGGAAGATAATGTGCAAAATTTAGTCGCCCATTCAAAAGTAGGCAATATAACTGTAAGAGCGGTCTGTAGCTTTTTTCATATCTGGAGATTATCTTTTGAAAATGAGCCCCTTTGTCGAGCTTACAACACACAATGTACAGTTGCTCACCAGACACTTGCCTCCTGTAATGGTGGCCAGTCCTTGGGAAACCATGTGGTCACATGGCACGTTGATGTCTTTTGGTTGGACCCTATTGCTGCTATGCATAGTGGACACACCATGCATTTGGACGGACATGCATCTTTGGACAAATTAAGTCTGTAGAAGTGGAGCTAGGTCCTCTTGTGAAATAACCATCTTGGACATGTTTCAGAATCTGGAAGAGAAGCACGCCCTGCGGATTCAGCTGGAGGGTCAGGTGGAGGACTTGTGGAAGCAGTTCCAGCAAGCTTTGAAGAGCTACAACGAGACCACCGAGGAGAGAAAGGCCCACTTTGAGACGCTGAAGGTCAAAGATGAGAAGAGTGCCAAGGAGATTGAGATGCAGATGAGGAAACTGCAGAGAATATCGGTAATTTCACAGCCAGTTCATCAGCAAAATATTACAAAGCAGGAATCATTCTGCCTTCAGACCAGTTTAAGTCTTAATCCCAAGTCAGTGTCTGACCATTTCAGTCTAAGTTGTAAAGTCACAGAAACTCTGGTTTCATCAGTTCCCATTGTCAAGGACAAGTCACAGTGATTTGCACTGCAGTTTAGATGGCACCCTTTTTGACTCCAAGGAAGTAAGATGAGGCAACCATTGTATGGCTGTCCTTTTTGCTGAAAATGCACTTATGCCAAAGAGTTATTTGTAATCTTCAGACCTATGTATGGCTTGTAGCTCTTGTTGCAGTGATGTCTGAATTATCAGTTGAAATGTAAACAAGACATTATTTACACTCCAGATTTGATATTACCATTACCAGAGGAGCTGTTTCCAATATTGAACGAGTCACAATTGCACTAATTTCAAGGTTTAGAGAGGTATTGGACTCTTGATGTATATGTGGTTGCCCCAAAATATGCTGATGTAGGACACCATTGCCCAGCTAAAGGGTAAGATGGCACAGAACTCTCGTGACAGTGAGGAACGTAACAAGGACCTTCGGGAGCAGCGAGAAGTCATTGCGGAACACTTCCACGAGCTGAAGAACCAGATGAATCGGTTCAGGGACAATGAGAGGGCACGCCTGACCAAGCTGACTCTAGATAGTAATGCAGCCATCAAAGAACTTCAAAGAAAAACCGATCAAGTAAGCCAATTAGTTTCAAACTCTGTGCTGAAAGACGGAGGTTTAACAGGGACTCATTTTCTACTTCCACTATCATCAGTTGGAACAAACATCAAATAAGATACTCAGCAATCTCACTGTAGAGAGTTTTGAAATCATTTATCTGCTTCAGGGCAATGTCATGGTAACAGAATGGCATTTTGACAAATTTTTATACATGTATGTCAAAAGTGGTGTTGTGTGAATACTTCACTCATAAAATAAAACCTGGACTACTTACGTGCTTTGTCAAATACCAATTTTAAATGGAATTTAAATTTTTTCGAAGAAATTTTTACATTGTTATTGATGAATGTTGATGAGGTTGGTAATAAGATGACACAGTTTTATGTATTTAGCTTCATTCATTTTATGAGTTTGACCATTTTGATCAGTTCTGCTCTTCAGTATGCAAGTGCAGGTTTTGCAGTGTACAATATCTGATTCATTTGTTTTGCTGACTGAACCAGTGATGATAACGATAAGCACTGATATTTGGCATTGGTATAGAATTTGTTTACCTTAAAGATATTCAAGGTGTCATCTCAGTAACTAAAGAGCGTGGAGTGTCTTAATTGTAGCTTTGTCTGTAATTTGTTTTTATTGTGCTCAGGGTGAGAGGATAGTCAAATTATCGGAGCAGTGTCGTAAACTGGAAACAGAGGAGGAGAAGGTGCTTCCATTCTATGCGTCCAGTTTGACCCAGGAGGAACAGGAGGATGTACAGGCCGCTGTAGCTGAACCTCCCTCTGAGCCCCTTGCAGAGGTAGTAGGAGAACGGAAAGGGAACAGCTAGAGGGAAGGGTGTTAGGAGATCAAAGGGGTGATTGATGATAAAAATTGGGATGTGTGTTAGGTTTATTGTTCTAGTTTTTACATTTAGGTTTGTACTGGTTGCCTTTGCATGTCTGTGAAGAAAACCAGTAAATCAGGCTGATCAGCATGAGATCAGATCAGATTACCTCCCTGTTTTTGTTTCAGTGTCCTTTGAAATCCTTCTCACAAAAACAAAACCAGCTGACTGAAATTTTGATTTCTACATTAGCCTTGTGGTTGGATTAAAAAAAAAATTGGGGTCCTTGTGGGTTTTTCTTGGGTTGTGCCAGTTTGAAAGATTCAGACGCCACTCCAGAGGATTTCACACTAAGTTCTGAGACTTTTTGAGTGAAAACACCTTTCCTTTGATTAGCTGTAGTCTGTGAAGTATCTTGTTGAAAATCAACTCAACATCAAAGCTTCACTCCGTAGGTTAGCCAATCTCGACCAACAGGACTACAAAATTGGGCTGTCTTATGTTGCTACGGGGCAGTATTTTGCCATTACTGAAGTCTTTGAGGATACCCTTCTTTATACTGTCTTTTTCAAGCTCGTCCCATTTGCTAATGCTTGATTTCAAATTTTTTTTTTAATTCTTCACAGATTATGCATGAGTACGTTTCGCTGGAGAACTTCTGGAAGCGTTACAACAAGGTGTTACTAGACAAGGTGGCCCTTGATAAGGAGAAGTCCACACTACTTGAGGAGAACAGACAGCTGCGGACAGTCCTGAAGCAGTACCTGGATGGCATCTCAGTCAATGATGAAATACTCAGCCAAGTTAATCCGCTCTTTGTGGTCAACCAGCGCACCAACGTCCAGTATGTTATCATACCAACTTATCATTTTATCCATTTCTTCCTTTCCTTGTTTATCTCCGCGGAAAACTTAGTCATTTAAAAATGGTTTCACTATGGTCCTGAATAAAAGAGACACAAATTAAAATAGAAAGATTTGGAAGCAAAACCAAAGACCAAATCAATACGGGAGATTCACAATAGTGTGCTGCCAAGAGTTTGCAACACATTGACCAATCACAGTACACGAAATCTGTTGACCTAATGCGCATTTGGAAAGGGTCAATACAGTTTCTCACATTGTGATTGGTCAACATGTTGCAAACTCTTGGCGAATCACCCCTTTTGAAGTACATTAAAAACTAAACTCAACAAAATGGAATATCATTGTGAAAACGTTACATTGGCAAAGCATTAGATTGTCAACAAACATAAAGAATGAGAAACAGTTCAGACGATAGACTTTTACGACTTGGGCAGCTCATTAAATGTTAAATTTCAGTAGTTTCCAGAATGACGTGGGTTTCAGTGTGACGAATATTGGTTTGAGCTTGATGCAAACATCTAATGTTGCCACTGTGTGACTTACTTCACTCTGTGGTATTACTGAAGCATGTAGTGACAACCAGACCTGGCTGTGTTTAACACCTTTTGTTTAATTATCAATTCTATGTGGAAATCGGAATATGACATTTTGGTATTTCTAACAAGTTGTCACATTTTTTCTTCGGCTTTACATTTTCCAGGCTCTCGGTGCCTGTTATGGACCCCCGAGTCAAGAGACCTACCCAGACAGTAGTGGAAGCAGCCCATGTCATCAAGCACACCATATAAAAGTCCCCTATGTTGGCTGTCTGACCAATCAGAGAGTGCGCAGAGGTCATGTGGTCTCGACTTTCAACCAATCACATAACAGATGTCAGCGCATCCTGCCTTGCATTCTTCCTTCAGAGAGACACGTTCGAGCAGTCTCTGAACATTCTGAATGTCAAACCAAAGAAATTGGATTGTTCATCACACAGTTCTACTACGTCAGTGGGAGATTTCCCCAGGAAAATGCCACATTGACTTTTCATTGACGTTTCAATCGACAGGTTCCTCACAAACTAGCTCCTCAAATTTATTCTTCAGGCAAAACAGCCTTTTCTTTTCAAAGTTACCTAGGTTATTTTCATAACCTTCAGAGTTTGCTTCGATTGAAACGTTCCTTTATTAAAATAAAAGCATATCTGTTGTAAATAGAAACTTCTTGTCAGGTTGTTCGTCTTATATATCATCAAGTAATTATTTTGGGCAAATTACCGGGTTTGCCAGTGTGAATCACTTTGTATTATAGATCCCATGTTTAAAGTATAAATGTGTACATATACATTGCAAAATGTGCAGTGAACTCTTTTGTGAAAACCTTGAATTATTTACTTAATAACAGAAACTTTAAGTAAATTCTTCATTTAGCTAAAAGAGGTGTGAATTTTCAGATATGTGAAACTGTAGAGTCAGAGGCCTCCAAGTGTTGAAGGAGTTAATACGTCATTGCTGTCAACACTTCCAAGATGATCCCTAAATTCCTATGTGCAGTTGGTAAGTGACTTACTAATGGTCACTTAAATGGTAGACTGAAAAGCAAAGTAAAAGAAGGCATCTCTGTCTTAATTTTTTCTTGATTGGCAGAAGGCATTGTTGAATAAATTCATAGCACTGAGGAGACCTTCCCTCAGGTGAAGTTGATATTTACAATCAATGAGTCCTCATTACAGTGTAATGGAGTCCTTTATTTTAAAGCAAATTAGGGATTTAAAAACATATATATGGAATATTTTATTAAGTTCATTCAATAATGAGGTACATGTATACGGTAGCCTTCAGGACCACTGCCTTAATATTTTGGAGCTAGTGAAGTTACGAGCCCTATGATGGATCAAGAGGGGGCACAATTTTCCTAGCAACAGAGTCTCCTTACGGCAAATACGCTTTGCTGGCTCACAAAATACTACAAAATGCATGTGTTACGGTCGTGTCACACGCTGAAAATAAAATGGACACTCCCCACCAACATGGTTCTTGTCAACCAATGAGGGGGTGCTTCTGGTCAAGGCAGTACTGAGTTGGCAGCACTTGGAAGTCAGTCACTTTACTGGTAAGGGCCCAACTGAAAAGAAATTCTGTGTTTTGTGGACATTGCATCATTTGGAATATAAATGCATATAAACCTTCCTTGAAAAGGAGAGGGCCGGGCTACTCGATCATTCCTTGGCCTCCCTAAAAGTTCCAGATGACATTCTTCAAACCATCACCATGCGAAGAGAAAATACACATTCAACTACCCTTTTTTCTGAGACTTTTCATATCAAGGGCAAGGATTTTTGCATGGCCCTCCTACTCACTGATAAAATTGTTGTTGCTTTGATATGTCATATTACATATGGAAGAAAGCCTTGGTTTAAATTATGTCTTCTGTGCTGTTCAGTGCATACGACTTCTTACCTTCTCAAAAAATTATAACTTGTAATTTTTGTCTAATGAAACCCTTGTTGTCATTGCTGTTAGCGCATTGTTGTCCTTTTTTGTTTGCAGACAAAAAGGTTAAGATTTCTTGGAATGAATTTAGTTCAGTTAAATTTTCTTTGAGGAAGGCATTTGTGTAACGCTCTGATTTCATTAGATGGGCTGATATTCATGATATGGTACCAAGACATTCTTATGATGGTTGTGTTCACCTTGCTGAGGGAAGTTTTTTGTTAGCCTTGAGACCGAGTTATGGGGGACAGAAATGCCCCTGTAGTGTTTTTAGTTCTGGCAATGCCATGTTTCAGCACCTGCTGTCCCCATTACTGCAGAACAAGATAGTGTGGTTGTGTGTGCGGTTAAAGATGTTACTTTGATTTTTAATTTGCTTTTTCTTTTCTGGGGGGTGTGTATTTTGTACAAATTAAAGCCCTGTTTATTTTTCAAAAAGTTAAGTATATTTTTTCCTACTTTGTTTCATGAGATATACAAAACGTATTTCAAAATACGCATCTCATAACACAGGCTTGCAAAATCCTACTTTACTGTCTGAAAGTGCATTCTATTTAATGTGTTTGTCTAGGAATGACATGGAGTGGTCGCATACCGCCCTCTTTGGCGTAGCTCCACCAATCCATGACGTGAGGTAGTTTTTCACGGAGTTTTTCTGTTACCCTATATGACGTCACAGCAGCATTGTCCGCGCTACACACGCAACATGGCGTCGTACAGTGTACGGTGAAATTTGTGTGCCTTCTTCTGCCGATAACCTACAAGATCAATCCTCCACTTGTCGTTTATCGCTTACACTTCAAACCTAGCGAAGAGTCTATTCACTTCACATTGGAAATATGCAATCAGTTTTGGTTTACGGGCGGCATTTTGCCCGTTGCGTCATGGGGTACTTACCTTACGATGCATCAGCGAGCGTGGAGCTACCTGGCCGGCGTACCGCTCGGCGGAGAATGCGGCTTGTTACCGCTTCGTGCGGTTTCTCCAAGGACTCGGCTGCAAATAACAACAGGCCCGGCCAAGTGTTTAAAAAGGACATTTTTGGCGATGATGCCTGTTTCGTTGCCAAGTATAGAAACTATGATGTTTTAGGTAAGGTATACAACCGGCTAGCCCCACTAGTGTGGCACGGACTCTCACTCCCGATCCATCCTTAGCCACACATCGTGACATCCGTATAGGCCTACGCAATTTTGTGTCGACGTAGGCCTACTGAACATTTTCGGCGGACCCACTTATCATCGTGGGCGCAATTTCTTTTGCACACGGACATGGTCCTTGACCTTTCCGCTTTCTAAAATCCATTAATTGAATGATTTCACTCACGTTATTCAGGTATTTTCCAGTCTTTTTGCCTTTATCCATTCAATCGAGACGTCTAAACTGCTGCCAAAGTTTTGGAAGAGCCCATTGGTACATGTAGTATCTTATCGCTCAGTCCGTGTATTACATATGTCTTGACATGGAACAGCCGTTGAGATGATGAAGGGTCAAGTGACGTAATGTTCAACGACCTTATTTTAAAGATGGCGACTGAGAGAGCGAGCCTGTTAGATTGAATGGATAAAGGCAAAAAGACTGGAAAATCCCTGAATAACGTGAGTGAAATCATTCAATAAATGGTCTTTAGAAAGTGAAGAGGTCAAGGATCATGTCTGCGTGCAAAAGAAATTGTGCCCACGATGATAAGTGGGTGCGCCGGAAATGTTAAGTATGCCGACACGAAATTGCGCATATAGATGTGTGGCTAAGGATGGATCGGGACGGATGTGAGAGTCCGTGCCTCACTAGTGCGGCTGACAACCAGCATTTTCCATGTTTTCCATTGATTTAAAAAAAATTATGATAGGGTAGGCCTAACCATGGCCTAACTAGTGCCTAGGCCCACTATGCCTATCCAAGTTTCCTTTCGTCATTTCAAGTCAGGAGCCAATGTGTTGCGGCATTGTTAGGCATCCTTTTTTTAGCTGTAGCTTCTAGCATTCACACTTTTTGGGAAGTTGTAATGCTAGCATCAGCCCTGCCGAAATTACTTTGTCATGGGGCTATGTTAAGAAAATAAAATAATCCTCCGGGCATACGAAAATAGTTGAGCTAGTAAGCATACATGGGAATTGGTCATTGACCCCAATGTTCGTGCAGTGTTGTGTGATTATCTCTGTGTTTCCAGAAAATTGTTAGCTTGATGGGAATTAGGAAGGAATTTCATATGTGGGCACCACTAATTTTTCCCTACAGTGATAAATGAGCCATATGAAAGCAATAACATGTCCTAAAAGATCAAATTTGGGGGTGAAAATATTGTGGTATTTACTTCAGACCAGTCCTAGATAGGGTTTATGCAGAGGCAGACAGGGTGTCATGCAGGGTCTGTACAGTGTGTACATGGAATTCTTTCCCAAAGTACATGTACATTCCACCTTTGTTCCCAAATGTTTAAAAGATACATATATGAACATGATGAATCGACCATGCACCTCTTTCTTGTTAAAAGATTTGTGTGATCTGTGAATAAAAGCTGAATTCCAAATCTGCACAGTGCTACCACCTCCCCAGAAATGAGAACAAACAACAGAGGACACACAGACATGATGGGACAGCTTCTAGAGGAAAGTTCCATAGATGGATGCCACTTGGCACCCTGTGCACAAACCCTGTAAGACTGGTCTGAAAAATTATAAGTGTTTACTTTTTACAGTAGACAACTTGCTATTTTCCCTCCTAAATTGAACTTTCCTGGACATGTGGTTACTTTCTGATGGCTATTACATGTAAGTCACTGTGGGGAAGAATTACTGACGTCCTTATAGGGAACTCATCCCCCCAAGATTCTAGTAGAATTACAATGTACATGTAGTATTGGATGTACAGAGCACTCAGCATGATTAGTTGATCTGCATGATCGGTCAGTTGTGCTTTGCTGTCAGTCAGTTTTACCAGAAATCTTGGACTTTCCCCTTTTCTAGTGTTTAAAATTCAAAAGTTGTTCATCGTATTCATGAAAAATGAATCAGAAAAGGAAGGTTTTTGGCTCACTGTGGACAGATTGCACTGCAGATCGTCGAATCTGATGCAGTGGTGTACATGTAGATCGCCTGATTCATGTTCTAACCCTAAGGGTCCCCAAGGGTGTACATGTATGTAAAATCATAAATGAAATCAGAGATTTGGGACTGTTTCAAAGGTACAATGTACATATTCATGTACATTACTTTGCATGTAATTGATAATATCAGCTACCGAAGTTGCTTTTTCATGGTTATGGAAGAGTGCTCTGAAAAAGAGGAAGTCTGAGATTTCCTACAGGATTGACTAATAATGCAGTGCAATTGATCCTGCATAGTCTACAGTACACCTATCGTTTCCAACACCTTTACATGTATGAAATGTTTGCCCTAAAAATTGTGTAATTGTGCTGCACCCATATGGGGGTAGACAACTCATTCATTCAGTGCACAGATGTCTGCACTCAGGCAAATCTACAATTTTGAGTAATTGCAAAATCTGAAATGAACCAAAGTACCATCAGAAATAGAAGAACTAGGTTTTGCCTTTCTTGTTTAATCCCCCTGTGTCCGTGGTTGGGGGTTAACAGGAGTGTACAGTGTTTTTAATTGCCCCCCACAAAAATGGCCGTGCAAAACTACAGCTGGCTCAAAACACAGTGAAAGCCCTGGGCCAGTAAGTTTCGGTCACTTTCACTGTGTTCCCTGATGCTTTTTACATTTTTGCCAAGTCTCGAGCTTGCTACAGCCTGTTCTTCATTTGCATCAGCATCGGAGCTCAAACTGTATTGACACCATAGGGTGATTTCTATTTTGAAATAATAAATCAACATCCATTTCATTGCCAAAACTGGCGGGTAGATCTTGTTCCGTTTATTTTTGACTGCAAATTTAAAAGGAATAACGACTTTAAAAGAGGACAAAGTGCTGTACTTTCACTCAAATAACAACCTGCATGCTGATTAACATGCGTAAAATGTTAACATTATACAGTGTTGTTGAATGTTGAAATACTTGTAGAAAAGTTATACCCGTGGAAAAACACTGCTGACATGCCTGGCCCTCTTTATTGTTGTGTGTCAATTACATTTACTTGCATGCATACTAAATACAAAGTTATGTTTTTGCCAATTTATGCCATTTCAACTCTCACGTATGTTCATGCCCCTCAGTTTGTGCGCATGCGTACTGAATCCCACTAGAGCCAGAAGCCTGTAAAATGGCCCTTGACTCGGACAGGTGGACCCCAAAAGTAATCGATCAACATCAAGCTCAGAAAAAGTTGTTTGCCCCTTATTTCCATACCGATTAGTATTTAAACACTCAAATTTTGATAACTTGCACACTATAAAAATCCTTTTTCAGCCAAATTTTGCCAGTCTTTCTTAAGTACCTCCAAAGTAACCAAGTCAGAAGTTGGAAGTGAAGCTAACATTTTGAAGGGGATTTTTTTCAGTTTTGCCGAGTTTTCCCTGACATTTCTCTACTTGTGAATAGTGAGGAATATTATGAATGCTCTAATGAGAAAGTGTCATACAAGAAGGAATCCGTATGGATGATAATGGAAAGTTTTTGTTTGTGCCTGTTAGTCGGGCAATTTGACGTGATTGTACATATTAATGCAATGCAGTGGGCCAACTCATACCCAAACGCACTCGTATCGAGGGGTGTGTACATTTGCACCATGCCCCAAATCCGGACATCTCATTTTTGACCGCTGCCAAACTCAGTGTGGAAATTTGAATCCGCATGAAAAACAAACTGCATTTTAGACAAATGGCTTTCGATCTTAAAAAAACTAACTGATAGATACAAAAATTATCAGTCTGCCAGACAATATCACTGGTGATCTCAGGAGGGGAATTCAACAAAAGTGTGAAAATTGGGCACTAAGCGCGAAAAGGGTCCCAATAAAAAACGAGCTGAATTTCAAATAACAGTTTTCTTCCTTGAAGTAATAACCTTTTTGTTCATAAGAGTTTCTAGTCTTTCATGTGGCATCAAAGTTATTTGATGGTAAACTCGGCAAAATTGTGAAAATTAGACACACAGCTAGGTAAAAAACAATGATTTTTCATAATTATACTTTGAGAAATGGGTTCACAGGTACGCCATGGAATCAATCTCTTTTGGGCGAGGTGTGGTTCTTAAAAGAACCGATGAATGTTAACTCAACGTTTTGGCCAGTGTGCTCTGGTGGTTGTAGCTAGGACAGGGGATATAGGGGATCCCATGGAGGTCCCAGCTGTCTGCTCATAGAACTGGTCTTGGAACTTGAAGTAGCTGGAAGAAACGCTGAGGCGGATGAGGTCGGCGATCTGGGCGGAGGAGAGAGCTGTGCGGTCAGTGAGGGAGGAGTCGCTGTCCAGTCGATCCTTGGCAATCTGGCAGGCTTCTTCGGTGGGAACATTGGTGAATAGTGACACCACGTCGAAGCTCACCATGATGTCTGTTGGTTGGAGTGACAGGTTTCTGAATGCGGCCAAGTATACATCGGGGAAACTGGCAGGAACCTCCCCATCAGACTCCAAGAACACCACTGGCACGGCCAAGTCGGCCATCATCAAACATGCACACTCCACAGACCACTGCATTGAATTGGACAACGCAGAACTCATCACCCCCATCCAGAACTGGCTTCCAAGGAGAATCCGAGAAGCCACACAAGTGTCACACACAAGGAGTCACACAACCTGCGAATCCCGTTCCATTGCTTCCGGATTACCTTTATAACCAGCTTTCCACTCCAGTGCGACACACTCTCCTGAGGACAGCCAGAGCACAATGGCCGAAACGTCGAGCTAACACACAGTGGTTCTTTTAAGAACCACACTTCGCTCAAAAGAGATTGATTCCGTGGTGTACTTGCAAACCTGTTTCTCATGTCTCTTCCACCATGCAAAGCTTCACATCTGAATTATACTGTGTAAAAAATTGACATTTTTCATTTTCATTGATTTTTTCCAGCAATCTCTTTCACCAGAAGCTAGTAAATCTTACCATTTGATAGACTCGAGGTCTTCAAGGGAAATGGCAGTACAATTTCCCACATGGGTCACCACTGATATACGTCGTCTGCTATAATAA